GTAAGTGTATGTATGTAAGTGTATGTATGTAAGTGTATGTATGTAAGTGTATGTATGTAAGTGTATGTATGTAAGTGTATGTATGTAAGTGTATGTATGTAAGTGTATGTATGTAAGTGTATGTATGTAAGTGTATGTATGTAAGTGTATGTATGTATGTGTATGTATGTATGTAAGTATGTATGTGTATGTATGTATGTGTATGTATGTATGTGTATGTATGTATGTGTATGTATGTAAGTATGTATGTAAGTGTATGTATGTATACGTCCGTATGCATATATGTATATATTTATGTATATATATGTCCGTATGCATATATGTCTGTACGCATATATGCATATAGATCTATGTACGTAAATATCCACACACACACACACACACACACACACACACACACACACACACACACACACACACACACACACACACACACAGCCATTATTTCTTCCCTTTTGTGCCATAGCCGAGCGAAGGCCTCGAGGGGCAAGGCTAAGGGGAGCTCATGAAGTCACACAAGGAAAGGTCAACTTTATAATAAAATTCGCTGGTGTAAAAAAAAAATGATAATAATAAAATAAAATAAAAGACTCGGTGGTAATCCGCTCTGGAGGAGAAACTTCGTCAAAAAGCTTTCCGAGTCACAGTTTGTTTACACTTCGTCAAGCAGGTGGATGGGTGTCCTGTCACACTGTCTTCGTTCCTCTCTCCCTCACCCTTCTCTCTCTCTCCCTCACCCTTCTCTCTCTCTCCCTCACCCTTCTCTCTCTCTCCCTCACCCTTCTCTCTCTCTCCCTCACCCTTCTCTCTCTCTCCCTCACCCTTCTCTCTCTCTCCCTCACCCTTCTCTCTCTCTCCCTCACCCTTCTCTCTCTCTCCCTCACCCTTCTCTCTCTCTCCCTCACCCTTCTCTCTCTCTCCCTCACCCTTCTCTCTCTCTCCCTCACCCTTCTCTCTCTCTCCCTCACCCTTCTCTCTCTCTCCCTCACCCTTCTCTCTCTCTCCCTCACCCTTCTCTCTCTCTCCCTCACCCTTCTCTCTCTCTCCCTCACCCTCTCTCTCTCCTCCCTCTCTCTCTCCTCACCCTTCTCTCTCTCTCCCTCACCCTTCTCTCTCTCTCCCTCACCCTTCTCTCTCTCTCCCTCACCCTTCTCTCTCTCTCCCTCACCCTTCTCTCTCTCCTCTCTTTTCTCCCCTCTCCACTTCCCGGCGCGAGAGAGAATGGAAGGAAGAACAACCTTGGAATAAACAGAGCAGGAGGGCAAGACAAACACGCGACCCGGGGAGGCCCAAGTGCAAAGGCAAGTAGTAGTGGGGAAGGGCGTGAAATGGGCAGAGAGGCAGGGAGCTCCACGCGGCGGAACACTTGGTGGACCACAGTTGAGCTCCCCAAGTTTGGCAGGAACTTGGGTTAACGGTGACGCCCCTCTCCCCTTCCCCCTCCCCTCCCCTACCCCCCCCACCCCCCCGACCCCCTCACCTCCCGTTCTGTCTCCCCCCCACTACCCTACCCCTCCCCCCCAGTGCGCACACCTGTACCCACCACCAACACACCCGCCGCTCACAACCTGTCTCTTATGCTCTTCTCTCTCTCTCTTCTCTACCCCTCTCTCTCTTCCACTTTCTCTCTTCCACTTCCTCTCTTCCACTTCCTCTCTTCTCCCTCTCCTATCAGCTCTCACAATACTACCCACTCATCCATATACATTCATATCCGACGCTGACTTCTCCCTCAAGGAAAAGAAAGAGTAAACCCCGGACGACCAGGCAACCAATCACGTGATTTAGCTCCCTCCCCCCCTCCCTCCTCTCGCCCCTCCCCCCCTCCTTCCCACTCCATCCGCTACTCACCGTGTATGACAATGCCCGCAATCACCTGTTACATTAAGGAAATTCCGGAGTAACTCCATCTCTTTCCAGCCCTGTGTCTCTCCTCCTCCTCCTCCTCTTCTCTATCCTTCCCGTCCACCTCTTCCTATTCCTTCTCTCTGTCCGCTCTCCTCTTCCTATTCCTTCTCCCTCGCCACCTTTTCTTCTCCCTCTTGAGTTTACGCTCGGAGCCCTTGGGCGATTTAACCCAAGGCTACGGTCTAGGTTCTCGCACTCCTGTGATCTCTCGTCTCTCTCTCTCTCTCGTCTCTCTCTCTCTCTCGTCTCTCTCTCTCTCTCGTCTCTCTCTCTCTCTCGTCTCTCTCTCTCTCTCGTCTCTCTCTCTCTCTCGTCTCTCTCTCTCTCTCGTCTCTCTCTCTCTCTCGTCTCTCTCTCTCTCTCGTCTCTCTCTCTCTCTCGTCTCTCTCTCTCTCTCGTCTCTCTCTCTCTCTCGTCTCTCTCTCTCTCTCGTCTCTCTCTCTCTCTCGTCTCTCTCTCTCTCTCGTCCTCTCTCTCTCCCGTCCTCGCTCTCTCTCTCTCTCTCTCTCCCGTCCTCGCTCTCTCTCTCTCTCTCTCTCCCGTCCTCGCTCTCTCTCTCTCTCTCTCTCCCGTCCTCGCTCTCTCTCTCTCTCTCTCTCCCGTCCTCGCTCTCTCTCTCTCTCTCTCTCCCGTCCTCGCTCTCTCTCTCTCTCTCTCTCTCGTCTCTCTCTCTCTCTCTCTCGTCTCTCTCTCTCTCTCTCTCGTCTCTCTCTCTCTCTCTCGTCTCTCTCTCTCTCTCTCGTCTCTCTCTCTCTCTCTCGTCTCTCTCTCTCTCTCTCGTCTCTCTCTCTCTCTCTCGTCTCTCTCTCTCTCTCTCGTCTCTCTCTCTCTCTCTCGTCTCTCTCTCTCTCTCTCGTCTCTCTCTCTCTCTCTCGTCTCTCTCTCTCTCTCTCGTCTCTCTCTCTCTCTCTCGTCTCTCTCTCTCTCTCTCGTCTCTCTCTCTCTCTCTCGTCTCTCTCTCTCTCTCTCGTCTCTCTCTCTCTCTCTCGTCTCTCTCTCTCTCTCTCGTCTCTCTCTCTCTCTCTCGTCTCTCTCTCTCTCTCTCGTCTCTCTCTCTCTCTCTCGTCTCTCTCTCTCTCTCTCGTCTCTCTCTCTCTCTCGTCTCTCTCTCTCTCTCGTCTCTCTCTCTCTCTCGTCTCTCTCTCTCTCTCGTCTCTCTCTCTCTCTCTCTCGTCTCTCTCTCTCTCTCGTCTCTCTCTCTCTCTCGTCTCTCTCTCTCTCTCTCGTCTCTCTCTCTCTCTCGTCTCTCTCTCTCTCTCGTCTCTCTCTCTCTCTCGTCTCTCTCTCTCTCTCGTCTCTCTCTCTCTCTCGTCTCTCTCTCTCTCTCTCTCGTCTCTCTCTCTCTCTCGTCTCTCTCTCTCTCTCGTCTCTCTCTCTCTCTCGTCTCTCTCTCTCTCTCGTCTCTCTCTCTCTCTCGTCTCTCTCTCTCTCTCGTCTCTCTCTCTCTCTCTCGTCTCTCTCTCTCTCTCGTCTCTCTCTCTCTCTCTCGTCTCTCTCTCTCTCTCGTCTCTCTCTCTCTCTCGTCTCTCTCTCTCTCTCGTCTCTCTCTCTCTCTCGTCTCTCTCTCTCGCTCTCTCTCTCTCTCCCGTCCTCGCTCTCGCTCTCTCTCCCGTCCTCGCTCTCGCTCTCTCTCCCGTCCTCGCTCTCGCTCTCTCTCTCTCTCTCCCGTCCTCGCTCTCTCTCTCTCTCTCTCTCTCTCTCCCGTCCTCGCTCTCTCTCTCTCTTTCTCTCTCCCGTCCTCGCTCTCTCTCTCTCTCTCTCTCTCCCGTCCTCGCTCTCTCTCTCTCTCTCTCTCTCCCGTCCTCGCTCTCTCTCTCTCTCTCTCTCTCCCGTCCTCGCTCTCTCTCTCTCTCTCTCTCTCCCGTCCTCGCTCTCTCTCTCTCTCTCTCTCTCTCTCTCCCGTCCTCGCTCTCTCTCTCTCTCTCTCTCTCCCGTCCTCGCTCTCTCTCTCTCTCTCTCTCCCGTCCTCGCTCTCTCTCTCTCTCTCTCTCTCTCCCGTCCTCGCTCTCTCTCTCTCTCTCTCTCCCGTCCTCGCTCTCTCTCTCTCTCTCTCTCTCCCGTCCTCGCTCTCTCTCTCTCTCTCTCTCCCGTCCTCGCTCTCTCTCTCTCTCTCTCTCCCGTCCTCGCTCTCTCTCTCTCTCCCGTCCTCGCTCTCTCGCTCTCTCTCTCTCTCCCGTCCTCGCTCTCTCGCTCTCTCTCTATCTCCCGTCCTCGCTCTCTCTCTCTCTCCCGTCCTCGCTCTCTCTCTCTCTCCCGTCCTCGCTCTCTCTCTCTCTCCCGTCCTCGCTCTCTCTCTCTCTCCCGTCCTCGCTCTCTCTCTCTCTCCCGTCCTCGCTCTCTCTCTCTCTCCCGTCCTCGCTCTCTCTCTCTCTCCCGTCCTCGCTCTCTCTCTCTCTCCCGTCCTCGCTCTCTCTCTCTCTCCCGTCCTCGCTCTCTCTCTCTCTCTCTCTCCCGTCCTCGCTCTCTCTCTCTCTCTCTCTCCCGTCCTCGCTCTCTCTCTCTCTCTCTCTCTCCCGTCCTCGCTCTCTCTCTCTCTCTCTCTCCCGTCCTCGCTCTCTCTCTCTCTCTCTCTCCCGTCCTCGCTCGCTCTCTCTCTCTCTCTCCCGTCCTCGCTCTCTCTCTCTCTCTCTCTCCCGTCCTCGCTCTCTCTCTCTCTCTCTCTCCCGTCCTCGCTCTCTCTCTCTCTCTCTCTCCCGTCCTCGCTCTCTCTCTCTCTCTCTCTCCCGTCCTCGCTCTCTCTCTCTCTCTCTCTCCCGTCCTCGCTCTCTCTCTCTCTCTCTCTCCCGTCCTCGCTCTCTCTCTCTCTCTCTCTCCCGTCCTCGCTCTCTCTCTCTCTCTCTCTCTCCCGTCCTCGCTCTCTCTCTCTCTCTCTCTCCCGTCCTCGCTCTCTCTCTCTCTCTCCCGTCCTCGCTCTCTCTCTCTCTCCCCCGTCCTCGCTCTCTCTCTCTCTCCCCCGTCCTCGCTCTCTCTCTCCCCCGTCCTCGCTCTCTCTCTCTCTCTCTCTCTCCCGTCCTCGCTCTCTCTCGCTCTCTCCCTCCCTTCCCACTCTCCCCCTCCCTCCCATCTTCCCCTCTCCCTCTCCCTTTCCTTACCTTAGTGAGCACGTCGAACCCATGTTTCCTCGCGATCTCGTGGGCTTTCTCGTCTCCTCCCTCGACGTGCGCTGCCCATTCGTGTGTGAAATCCCCGACCTGCGCGCACACGAAGCAAGGTACACACAGCACCACCAACACCACCACACTCACCACCACACTCACCACACGCGCATCACCACTACAGGTCCGCGGATACATTATATAAAAGAGATTTTAATCTTTTTTTTTTGTATTATTATTTTTTTAAATTTGCCGGTTTATACTTATGGTGATTTGCTATTATCTTTTCTTCTCTCTCTTCTTTTTTTTATATATTTAAAAAAAAAGTTTTATATATATATTTTTTTTTGAAAGGGGGGGGGGGCAACAGAATGTGATTTCCAATTATTTTTTTTTCTCTCCGTGGGGGGAATTATATTTAAAAAAAAAAAAAGATCTGAGGTACTCTTAACTAGGCTCTCGAAGGGTTTTTAAAAAAAGGGGGAGGGAGAGAAAAAAGGAATCGTCTATACAGCTCCGGACATTGTTTTAAACCGAACTTTGGCGTGGGCTAGGAGCGTATGACCGTGCGCGACCACTGTCAGAGGAACACTGGCAAGGCGCTGAGAGGAGGCGAGCGAGTGGCGGCGGAGGACCTCTGGCGGCGGCCGGCGGAACTACGAGCCCTTCTATGTCACTATGTCCCTTCTATATCACTTTTGTCTAGGGGGAAAATTGCATGTGTTTTTCTTATTTTGATTCGCACTCTTTGGCAGGAATGAGAGAGGGGGTGATTATGGGGGCGGATTTTGAGAGTAAATGTTCAAAAGAGAGGATTTTGAAACTTGAAATACTTCTGTTTTGGGAGGAAAATCCATGTGGTTTCTCGTTTGAATTTGTCCTTCTTGTTAGTAATTAAGTGCTCTACGGGTATCTATACTTTTTCCTTTATTTAGGCTTGAGCATAAATGTTAAATGATAAGTTTAGGGTATGTGAAGATGGTGCTTTGCTGAGACAGTCTCGTTACAAAAGGGTTTTCACAATTTACTCTTCACTCAGAAATGGGCGTCTATGTACCGGCATGTGATTAAGGAACAATATAAGAAATATATATGTTTGTGTGAGAAACCATTAGCATCCATACAAGTACATCAGCAAATCAATTAAAATCTATTTTGATGTTTTTTTTCCATACCATCACTTTCTTCTTTAATTCTAACCTAATTCCTTTAAGTTTTTCACTTAATTCAGTATTTATACACTCATATATATATATATATATATATATATATATATATATATATATATATATATATATATATGTATGCATGTATGTATATATGTATATATATGTATAGATAGATAGTATATGCATATATACCTTGATAAATGTACATGTATATATATATACATATATGTAATCTATATATATGAATTTATATATATATATATATATATATATATATATATATATATATATATAAACACACACATACACACACACACACACACACACACACACACATATATATATATATATATATATATATATATATATATATATATATATATATATACATATATACATATATAATTCCGTGCGATACGCCAGGCTAAATTCTCGTAGTCAACATGACTTTTAACTTTTCAAAGCTATTTTGTGATGAGACAAACTTTTTTATGTTTATTTTTCTGTAGTTTCTGTTTTTGCTTGTGTTTTGTTTTGTTTTTGTTTGTGTCTTTTCGCTTAACTTTATTTGAACGATTTCTCGTGTGTGTGTGTGTGTGTGTGTGTGTGTGTGTGTGTGTGTGTGTGTGTGTGTGTGTGTGTGTGTGTGTGTGCGTGTATACACGTGTGTGTATATATGCATATATATATGAATATGTATATACATATATGCATGAAAGACGAGAGAGAGAGAAACAAACAGACAGACAGACAGACAGACAGACAGACAGAGAGAGAGAGAGAGAGACAGAGAGACAGAGAGAGAGAGAGAGAGAGGTTAACAAATATTATTTTCTCTCTCGGCACACTACACCTCTGATGACCATCCCGGTACGTACCATATATGTTTATATATATATATATATATATATATATATATATATATATATATATATATATATATATATATATATATATATAAAACAGATTTTCGTAATTGGCACGAACCATTTTTTCAACAATTTGTTCGTTAACTGGCTACTACTGGCTTCTACATGATCAAAGTATACTGTGGGACCGTTACATATATACGTGTACATGTATATAACGTATGTATTCACGCATATAAAGACTGTTGAGATGTTATTTTTCAAAAGTTTAAAACCCGCAGGTAGTTTAGACATATGTATTGTAGTTGACGATTTAAGTGTTTTCTTTACTGCAAGTCATTGTGATGTTTTTTTGTCCGCACCATTTTCCTTCTTTCGTAATCTGCTTTGATATCATTCTCTTTTATCTCATTTTGTTTATGTATTTATTTCTGTATATAACTAATGTGTGTGTATACATATATATATATATATATATATATATATATATATATATATATATATATATATTTACACAACTATATACAAAAAATACAAACAACACGTGTGTATATACTTTGTACGGCTATAGACATACATGCATTCATACACACGCCCGCAACCACTCACCCGCCCACACACACACACACTAGAAATATAGATTGGGCTGGTATACACAGTCAGTATATTTTGCATGTATTTGCTTTGCCTGCAGCGATGTACTTTTCATCGTTCCATCCTTTATAAAGAAAACACAATGGCAGCTGCAAAGGGCGATGCAGCAGCGAGTTCTTGCAACAGACAGCTCAACAGTCGTTTTTTTCTGGAAATCCCTGAATAATGAAGCTCACTGAAATCAGCAGATGAATAAAGTTAGCATTCATGGAAGAGCTGTAATGAATGCCGGTTAAACCACGCCTTCAGTTCCACGTACTGTCAAAGAATCGAGCAATTAGGTTTGCTTGAACTCAACTTTTCCAATTCGTGCTCATTATGCTGAACTTCCGCTGTTAACTTTTGATTTCAAAATTTCCAATTTAATTTCTCTGAAGCATGCGCCATTTCCGAAAATCTAATATGAAATCTAATAATGGTTTTGAAGGAATCTGAGTCTTGCAATAAAGAAAAGCTGTGTTATATTATGTTCAGAACTTTTTTTTATCATTCTTATCAACTTTAATAATTTACGAACACAGATTTATATTTCAACCAATTTATCATTTATGTTCTCAAAACGAGATACAATATTTTAATTCTAGTTACCATCACTGCTATTATTGTTATGTTTGTAAAAACAAAACAATTTTATGTAAACTCGGGTTCGCCAGTTGCAGCGAGATTGTTTATATTTACGAATGTTGGGTTCATAATATACACATAAAGGAATCGTGACAGAGTGAAGTTCCGCTCTGTTTCGGGTCCCGAGTCTATGCTTTGTCACGTCCACTTATTGTTCACCATAAAGTAGGAAATTTTACGTTGATTTTTGATTAATAAAAAATATATATATAAAAATAAAAAAACACGGACAGTAACTGATAGTCTTCTTAATGAAAAGGCGAGTTTACAGTCACTGACGATATGTAAATGTAGGCCTACCTTATTTCCCTACGTAGATCTATTGCATCAGATGAAACCAAGCAGGAACGCCCGTACGTGATTCAAAAAGCACGCTCCCAACCCTGCATGTGTAGACTATTGTCACGATTACAGAGAAAAAGCATGTCGCGGCCCCAGCTGTACTGCCCTCAGAAAATGGTTGACCGCGAAAGGGTTTTCAACATTTTTACTTATGTAAACATGTCGTGACTCATTACATAACACACTTGTTCTTTCTTATCGAGAAAGGGCCATAGAAATTAAACACACACACTCACACATATATACATACATATATTTACACACACACATATATGTGTATATATGTATATATATATATATATATATATATATATATATATATATATATATATATATATATATATATATATATATATACAATAAATAACAACCCTCCCTGACCAGGACTCGAACCAAGGTCACTCCGGCACTACATTATTCCATCTGTCGAATACAAATATGTATACATATGCATGTATATATTTACATCCACACACAAATATATATATATATATATATATATATATATATATATATATATATATATATATATATATACATCCACATATACACATATATATACACACATGCACACATATATATGTGTGAATATGTATATATAAAGAATATATATATAGAGAGAGAGATAGACAGAGGTAAATATATAGATATGTAGTTATACACGTATAGAGATAGATCGATATCCAAATACACCTGTGCGTGAAAATTAGTCTGGGACCTTTGAGTTAATAACTGTAGAGTCTGTCCATCCGTTTAGTTTCCTTTAAATTCCAGCGAAGGGGAAAAACACACCGAATTAGAACTTTTTTTTCCAAGCGATCGAGAATGTTTCCTGAAAAGTTTCAAAAACTACAGAACGTATTGACTTGGAACCTTTTTTTAAGGTGTTCCACGATGTTTTTTTTTCTGATTTTGCTCCTATGTGTCTATATTTTTTCATCAACCACGTGGTGTGTGTCGCGCGGAAATATATATCTTCTTTATCTGGTATCGTCTCTTTGGCCTAGTTTGTCAGAAATCATTCTTTGGACACAAAATGATGCCGACAACGCATACGGACATACAGAGACGACAGTAATTAATTTGTGACAATCAGTGAATACAACTACACTTAAACAACCATTACAGCTAATCAGAGGTCATTTGTGATGTTTTTCCATAACAGTCCAGAACAGATTAGGTTTATGGGAAACCTAAGCGCTATTTTGTGTCTGATTATTGCCTTTTGTTTGTAAGCACAATACACAGGATGTGCATTGTGCTGGGTTCAATTATATGCCATATTGTCTTTTTCTTTGATAAAGATCTGGATCAATGACATTGAAAAAAAAAATCGGAATATATTACTATTAGCTATGCATTAGAATCCATGGACTTTTTGTAACTTCGTTTTTGCATATTAATGTACGGTGTGATTTCTGATTCCGAAATTGCCCAGGCACCGAAATCTGGCTATTTTCGAGGAAGGTTAACGAGCGACCAGAATCAACATTCTGTTCTCTCATACTAAGCGTAAACACAAAGGAAATCTGGCAACCGATTCGCGCCAGTACCTTTGTGTGAGTGGGCATCATTTGAACAATTTTACCATGATAGCGAACCCGGGATATCGAGTTCGTTATTCGATGAAGCCATAAGTTCACCTTCAGTTTGGATAAAGTTGGAATTACCTCGTAAATACTGTACCTCTTGGGTTAAGAAGTCACGAACGAGCAGTTTCTTTGAAGAGACTTTACCTAATTCCGAGAAATATAATTAGCATAATAATAGATCCTTGTAGAGTGAGTTCCTCATGATTGTTTTGCCTTTTAGAGACCTTTATAAATGGGTCTTATCCCCCTATTCAACAGTAGCACTTGCCGTGTTTACCATGAGAGGAAAGCTGCCATTCACGACAAGGGTAAGAGTATGATAAAGCTT